CATCATGCCCTGAATCAACAGGTACCTGACCCTTCTACCTTCTTTTCCTTTCTCCTCCCTTTTCCCTGTGGTGCATTGCCTCCAATAAGGATTTTCCTTAGTTTAAAATGTGTATGGTCAATATTAAACCTCTATTACTGAGCAGTATCTTCCCCAGCCCCCTCCTACCCATTCCCAAGGAGTTACAGAGACTAATCTGTGGTTACCGAAACAATTCATTACAAGAAGCTTTTCAAGAAAATCCCAAGCCTGGCCTTCTCCACAAGACAAGAAAGACAGGTTTTCCTTGTAAAGAGCAGAAGGGAATGGACAGTTTGATCCCATGGAACATCCCTTCATTTCTGCTCCAGTGCCTGCCCGTGCACTGTGGAGCAGCACATCCTGCTCCTCCCTGGCCATGCCCTCAGTGTCCCCAGCACAGCCTGAATTTCAAATCATGGTCAAAAACCAAATACACCAGGCAGACAAGAGGTGAGGCCGTTTCCAGAGCTTTTTTTCCATGCAGGGGGGCTGAAATCCCACAAAACCTGGGTGGTGGGGCTGGGCTCACACTTCATGGATGAGCCCGGGAGGTGCAAGGATGTCCTGAGAGCTCCTGTGGGATCCCCACCCTCTGCACCTCCTCTCATCCAGTCCCCTTGAAATCCTTTCCCTGCCTGCCCAAGGAAGTTTTTTCATTCCTAGGATTCAAGGTTGTGTAAGTGGGAACTTCTCCCCAGTATCCATCCCTAAAGCTCAAACCTTCCTCCAAGGCGACACCAACCATCCCTCAGCAGCTCTCCTGACTGCATCTGGGCCTTGGAGGAATTGGGGTTTACACCACAGACCAGAATCTGCAGCCTCTTTTAACTGAAGGAAGTTTTTTTCATTTATGAAGCTTTTTTTTTGGGAATAAAAAATTGCAATATTTACTCTTTCAAGGCGTTCTGCTCTTAAAACTTTTATGTTTAGTAGGAAATTCTTGTCACAGCACGAGGATTTTTCCCCCCAGCTTTTATTCCCTGGACAAATTTATTTAATAAATAGCTGTTTCCTTAACTGAAATATTCTGATTTTAATTAAATTGAATTTAAAATGCCATTTTTAATGGGATTTTTTGTTTTGAAGTCCAAGTTTTAGGACTGTCTTGAGCAAGAAATCGCTGTCAGGCTGGAACAGTGAATATTGCAGTGAGAGGTGCAGCAGCATTTAGCACAACTGTGACCTCACTGCACTTGTGTAAGGACAAATAGAGTCAATTACACACAAAAAACACAACTGGGGCTAAAAACTAGAGATAAATTCAACAAAAACCTCCTGTACCATCAGGAGTTACTAAATCTACAACGCAAAATTACATTTCACTTTTCACTGATGGTTGCTCTACGATCTACCTTGATCTAAGGTTGATTTAATGGCATATTGAGCTACCAAAAATCTGTGTTTCCAAGGGAGTCACTGCTCTGATTCATCTTGCAGGTACACACAGGGATCAAAAACCAGCTGGCTTTTCCAGCCTCTCCTTGGAGCCAGGGAATTAGGGTGGCTTTTGATCCCATCAAGGATCTTCTGCTGACTTTGGGAAGGGAAACACAGACTGGTTCCTCAGAAAAGTGAGGAAAAAGAGGATTTTCACTTGCTGCTTGCTCCAGAAGAGTTCTTCTATGTCTATCAGGGGAGTTATCCCAACTTTTCTTAGAGTACTATCCTTGGAGCAAGGAGGGATACAGCATTCTGGCCCAGGACATGTTGGGAAGGCACTCCCAGATTTCTTAGCCATGAAATAGATTTTCCTGGCTTTATGGTTTTCTCCTGGCCTTCAGAAGAAAAGATTGGCACAGCCAAGGGTGGCCCTAAGGAGCAGCAGCTGCCCTGTGCCAGCAGGATGTTCCTGCTGGGGAAAACCCCAGTGAACCCACGGCACCGTTGGGGTGATATTCCCAGGCAGCCCTGGAAATCCAGCTGCACTTATTTCCAGCAGGATAAATGAAGAAAAAAAAAATCCCAAAAAACTAAATGAACAGCCTCATTTCACCCCCAAAATTTGAATTTCTGCTCACACATGAAAATCTGTCGCTGGAAACACTGATAATTCTGTTCTTTGGATAATGGCACAATTAGAGAGGGACTTTTTAGATCAATATCAGCAGGAAAAAATCCTGTCTAACCCCACTGACTTTTCTGTGGGCAGCCACTATTCAAACCTTTCTTTTTTATTCCATTTATTTCTTAACAAGAGCATTTGCATTCATGCATTAATACATGCAAGGAATAAAAAAAAAAAGCCCCAAAGTCCCCAAAAGCAAAGAATAAAGTCAACAATCGACAAGCTCCTTTTCAGGATTTATCCTGGTTTTCCTTAGAAATGTTTTGAAGGAAAGCATCTTTAAAAGCGAGCATTTAATGTAGCAAATGGGATTTTAAAATGAGCATTTAATGTAGTAAATGGGATCTAAAAATGATTTATATTTATGTTTTATATATTTATATAATTATATAACATTTAATGTTTCATATGGGATTTAAACTGAGCTTGAGAGAGCTAAAGGTGCCCAGAGCCCAAGTGGAAGACCCAATGGGAACTAAAATTTTTTAAGGACCTTCCTACAGGTGCTCCAAGTGGAAGAAATCCTTTTCCTAAATTCAAACTGTAAGATTTAAAAAAATAAATATTTATTTGCTTGCCTTAGGCCTTTCTGGTGAGCCACAGGTTGTGTTCAAACAGCACAGCCACAGAGCGAGGAAACGCTCCTTGGTTTCCTCCTCACATTATTTGCTTTAAAATTAAAGCTGGGCAGGCTCTGCAGGACCTGAATCCATTTTCATCTTGACAATCTTCTGGAAAATCTCTATTAAAGCTCAGAGCTTAAAAGCTTAATGTGAGCACGGGGCCAGCTCCAGCAGCTCCCACCCCAGAGCTGATCCCACACTCGTTCCTGGGTTTGTTAATGCTGGAATGGATGAGTTTTAAACCCCTAAAACACAGCAGCAGGTTCTGTTTCCTCTCCTGAGCTGCTTTGGTGATAATCATCAACAGAGACACCTGGAAAAAGCTTGGCCACACCTTGCCCAGCTGTGGGACATCCCCATGGAGCTCCTGGCCCTCTCCAGGGAAGCCCTCACCTCAGCAGAGGCTGGGAAGCCTGGCCAAGTAGCTGAGTTTCATTATTTTCCCAGGAATATTTCCATTCCTGGCTGAAATGAGCCCAGTGGAATTCCAGCCCACAGGTAGAGCCTGGGAGCTGGGATCTCCACCCAGCCAAGGACTGGGAGAATGAGTTGGGCAGGACTCTGCTCCCAGATCAAATCCCAGCCTGGATTAATTCCCTGCCTCTGGCTGAGCTGTGCTAAAGGCACCCTCATCCCAGGGCATCAATCCCACAGGATCACCCTCCTGCTCCTCTGGAATCAGACTGTGCCCACGCCCTGCTCCCAGGGAACGAGTGCCAGGGCAAGAGGAACAGCCTCAGGCTGGGCCAGGGGAGGTTTAGGTGGGATACTGGGAAAAATTCCTGCTGGAAAGAGTGGCCAGGCATTGGCACAGCTGCCGAGGGGGTGGTGGAGTCACCATGCCTGCAGGGATTTCAAGCCCTGTGGATGTGGCATGTGGGGACATGGACAGTGGTGGCCTTGGCAGTGCTGGGGGAATGGCTGGACTTGACAACCTTAGAGGGTTTTCCTAATCTAAAAGATCCTATGAATCACATAGATGTTGTATTTTATATATTTATTTATATTATACATGGTATAAAATTTTATATATAAATATATATTTAAAATAATATCTACTTGTAAAAGCTAATATTTTATTAATAATGGCATGGTTAACATTTGTTATGAATAATATTGTTGTTGTTATTATTATCCTTTTCTCTGAGTCCCTTTTTTCTCCAGTACTAACTGGGACAAGCCTGGTGTAGTAACATCTTATTAATGTCTGAGTAGCACTCAGAAAGCCTTACAGTGGCCTGGGCCTTCCCTTCACTAAAATTTGGTGAGATTTCCTTCCCTTTGGGATCATCTTGGTGACATGAAACACAATCTGTTCCTTGCACCATGGCACTGGATTTCATGGAATCATGGAATGGTTTGTGGTGGAAGGGACTTTAAAGCCCATCCAGTGCCACCCCCTGCCATGGACACCTTCCACTATCCCAGGCTGCTCCAAGCCCCAAAGTCCAACCTGGCCTTGGACACTTCCAGGGATCCAGGGGCAGCCACAGCTGCTCTGGGCACCCTGTACCAGGGCCTGCCCACCCTCCCAGGGAACAATTCCTTCCCAATATCCCATCCATCCCTGCCCTCTGGCACTGGGAAGCCATTCCCTGTGTCCTGTCCCTCCATCCCTTGTCCCCAGTCCCTCTCCAGCTCTCCTGGAGCTCCTTTAGGCCCTTGAAGTGGCTCTGAGCTCTCCCTGGAGCCTTCTCTTCTCCAGGTGAGCACCCCCAGCTCTCCAAATAACCAGGATTATTCATTATTGATCCTCTCCAAGGCTTAAATCTCTGAAGGAACCTTTGGGAAAATCAAATACAATGAGTGAAAAATTTGCTTTTCTCTCTTTATGTTACTCATCCAACCCGCATTTTACAGCAACTTAAAGCTCTGCTTTTCTGAAAACTCCCATTTTACTTCCAGAAGCACAAGAACACGCCCTGGATGGATCTGAACAAATTTAAACCCCAGATTTTTCCCTTGAATGGGTGTTTTTTTGTAAAAATGTGTCTTTTCTGACACACTTTGAATGACTCACATGAAAGCTTGTCTCTCACCCCTCAGCTCTGGGACTCTTTGCCAATGAATAACTCACAACAGGAGTGAAACTCCCCCACAGCAAAGCTCCCCCTCCTCTCAGGAGGATGGGCAAACAGCAAAGATCAGAATAATAATAATAATAATAATCATTAAAACCAAAAGAGATGAGAAGGAAACAAATCAAATATTGCACTCACAAAAAAAAAAAAAAAAGACAAGAGAGGACGGCAGTTTCATGGGATTTTTGGATAAATAAACAAGTGCCATACCTTTTCAAAAATTCCATATACTCAGTATGCTTGATGAGGCCAGTCCTCATCATTATTGTTTGAAAACATTGCCGATCAATAGCCCAAAGTTTCACATTTACGAGAGCTGGAAAAAAAACAAGACAAGGGGAAAATGTGATTAGCAAAAAATGTCCAAATTCCTGTTGTGAACTGCAGAGGAAAATGATGTCATTGGTGAGAAAGCACGGGAACGGGAAATGCTGCAAACCAGGAAACTGGACATGAAAGCATGCACTGAAAGGATTGGGAAAATCCTGGTTTAGGAGATGGATGTGGGGTTTTGGAAAGATGGCCTGAAAGCAGCTGTGAGGGGAGGAGGAATCAAGGAAGGCTAAAGGTGAGCAAGGATTCAGGGTCAGTTCATCACAACCTCCATGATTTCGGGACATTTTTAGTGCATTATCCAGCAAAAGCCATTGAGGTTCCACCCGGCTCCCAAACTCCTCCTTGACCTCAAGGAAATTTCCAGCCCAAGCCCTCTTACACCCTGATAATGAAACACCTCCCAGCTGGGGAGGTTTTGAGTCATTCTTCCCCAACTTTACTTTTTGGGTCCCTGCTGAATTCCAAGACTTCTGAGTTACTCAACAAACCCCACACCCTGTTCTTCAGAGGCAAAATTTCATCGTAAAAACAGGGAAAACCAAATGCGTAAAGTAGAGGGTAGAACCTTAAAAGTCCCAGTTTTTATCTCAGCTGTGGCTTAGACATTTGCATTAACCATAAATGCTTGAGTATATACAGTTTATAATAGGGCTTCTCCTTAGAGAAACAGTTTGATTAAAACTATTCCCAGGACCACTACACTCATATTAATTTCTATTTTTTCAGAGAGTAAATGCAATAAATTCCATCCCCATATCTCCATTTGACTGTGTGAAACAGCATGAAGCAAAGAGACTTTCAGCAAAATATTTACAAATACTCTCACTGATAAGATCCATAAAATGAATGTGCTTTGATTTGCTGGTCCTTCAGTTCCCAAACCTCCTCTTTAATGAGTTTTTATCCCTAATGCATTTGCAAGATGGAAAACCTTCAAAGTGAAAACTCAAAGATTTCCTCTTGAATTCCATGGCAGAACAGCTTTTAAAGCCTCTTCTAGTTTTGAACACAGAAACTTCTCTTAGAAAAGAATTTTTAGTTCTATAATCAAAGTGACACCTCCAGGCATGGGGACTCCGGCCTGAGCTCCCTTGCCATGGAGAAATTCCTCCTGGTGTCCAAGCTGAGCCTCCCCTGGCACAGCTTGAGGCCGTTTCCCCTTGTCCTGTCCCTGTTCCCTGGCAGCAGAGCCCGACCCCCCATCAGGAATGGTGCAGAGATGCTGCTCTCTCATTAACCATAACACACTATGAACCATAACACACTATTGCCTCCTATATATTTTAATAAGTTCATATACCAGGCCCCCCAAGGTCCATGCAGGAACTCAGTAAAGTGCAGACAATGCACTTCTGTATTAATTAAGCCACTAATCACACCTTATATTCTCATTTCTCCAGCCTTAATGACAAACAGCTGCTTTACTAAAGGCTAATCAGGGTAGAGATTTAAATGTCAGTAGGAGCCTTATAATCAGCATGAGCAGCATTTCCTGTTGTGCTGAAACCCCCTGTCAGTGCTGAAGAAACAGCAGGAATTCTGTGGGATTTGATCCTCTTAAAGGCTTCAAAGTTATGTATTTAGGAGTGCCCTGAGATGAAAAACATATCTTTGGGATGTGTCCCACAAATTCAACATCCACTGGGAATTAGAACAGACATAGACAGAGATTTCCTGGCCCATCCCTCTGCTGGATGTAAAATATAAAAAATCCTATTCCCTGACTGCAGGAGGCACAACCAGGAAGGAATATGAGAAACAAAGTGATGGAAGAAGATGCCTGCAACACGAGTTTCCTTACTCAATAATCTAAAATACCATCCTGCAATCAGAGCTGCTCTGCTGCAGTGATGCAACAATTAAAGTTTATTGCCTCTTTCACACTTTTTCTCCAGCAAAATGCCATAGCTGGGGCTCTGTTTGATCTTTGGAGAAGCACACAACAAAATCACTGCTCGTCCAAAAACCACCAGGAGTTTGGACAGGGATGGCCAAACCTGCCATTTCTCTATGGCTGCAGTTGTAGGAGCTCTCCAGGTGAGGGGATGGGGCACTGCAGAATGATTGAATTGCGTGTTGAGACAACAGAGTGATGGGAATTGTGACTTATGATGATTTCTGACAGATTTCTGCTGTGGTTCAAGGGCTGAAGACAAAGCAAATGCTGCTGGACAAACAGGGAAGAGCTGAGGCAAAAGTATCAGGATTTCCTGGGGCAGAACTGGATGGGGGTGGAGATGTTACCAATAAAGTTTAAATTTGAAATGCTTTCCATGGTTAAGTCCTAATTTCTGATTGAAGCTGACTGAAATTAACTCAATCAATGATTTCAGTAAATGAATCAAGCCACTCTCTCCATCAACATTCCTGATTAAAACCAATTTAAAAAGTCAATAAACAATTTTGAACTTCTTTTCCAAAAAGAACTATTCCCAAACTTTTCTTCCTATTTATTTACCTGGGAACCCATGGAAATATATCCCAATTGAAAGGGGTGAACAGAGGGGTGCAGAGCCCAGCCCAAAGCCTGGGATCTGTCCCAGCTGGTTCATCCATGCCCAGAGCCTTCTCCTGTCCAGGCTGAACAGCCCTAAATCTCTAAATAACAGGGATTGTTCATTACTGAACCTCTCCAGGCCTTAATTCTCTTTATTTTCAATACTTCCATTACATCCCCAGCCTGCCAAAGTTTGGGCTATTTTGCTTCATTTCTTCTTGTGGACCCAGTGGCTGAAGATCATCAGCTCCTTTTTTCTTTCCTCACGTGCCAAAGCACTGAAATAAGAGGGGAAATGCAAAGTTTTAAGCTAAATATTTACAGAAGAGCAACCTAAATACTGTTGATGTTATTTAATATTATATATTTTATGTTAGATAGGCAGGGAAGTCCTGAATATTAAAAAAACCCCTTGAAATCAGAGCAGTCAGCAGAGGCATTATTTCCAAAATGAGATGCAATATTCAGATGGCCCTGCATTCTTTAAACATCTTCCCAAGTTTTTATGTGCTCACTGAAGCCTTCCCAAGTTTTTTCAAGGATCACCAGGTGAATCATCCTCTTGCTGGCAGCGTTACCAGGCCTGAAAATTTTTATTCCCTTGTACCCCAAGCTGGAACTCGTCAGCTCACTTTGCCTTTTGGGCTATTTCATCCCAAAAAATTGTTTGTTTATCTGCCCTCAGGCAAAGAAGCAGCCACAACTTTGTGTCCTCAGGGCTTTTTTGGGCAGACAAAACATCAAATTTCCACTCCTATTTAACTGTCCTCCCACTTGGGTTGGGTTGTGCAGGGAATATTGTGGAAATATTCCCACCATGGGGGAAAACACAGTCATTTCCAGCTATTTCTGGTCCCTCCTGTTTAAGGTAAGAAATGATGATTAAGGCACATTTAACTAAACAGGAGGAGCACATGGAATTGCTTTATGCCACCAAACACTCCGGGAATCATGAGGGAGGCTCCAGAATACAGCATGGAGTGATGGAGAGGATGCATCCAACAGCTGGAGCAGGAATAAATTTCTTTATTCCCAGATATTTCTGTCCAAAATTTCTAACAACAGCGCTGGGACAAGGATGACTTCATCCTGATATCCCATTTTCCAGCAGGTCCTTTCCCATTTTTCCCCAGGGAGGTTTTGTTAGTAGGGAAGGAATCATTTTAGTTTGGCCAAGGATAAATGCAGAGACAGAGAAAAGCTCCCAGTGCCAGAGGGCAGGGATAGATGGGATATTGGGAAGGAATTGTTCCCTGGGAGGGTGGGCAGGCCCTGGCACAGGGTGCCCAGAGCAGCTGTGGCTGTCCCTGGATCCCTGGAAGTGCCCAAGGGCCATGCTTGGAATGTTTGGGCTGCTGCTCAATCCCTGGTCTCAGAGGTGACAAATAATAAATGCAGGTTCTGTGAGGAGAAAAGGAAGCAGGAAGGACAAGGGACCTCCAGGGAGCTCTGCTTTCACTCCAATCAGCTCCAGGAGCCACGAGATTCCAAGGAAGTGTGTAAGGTTTGCTTAGGAATGACACCTGCCTGGAGAAGATCAGGCAAGACCAAGGATAGAAGCAGAGGGAAATTGTTATTACCCAACCCTGCTCTTGAACAAAGCCTCCTGGAGTATTCAATATAAATATAAATTAAATGGAGCATTAAAAAGGCACCTGAAACTATTGAATTTAACAGTATTAAACAGATCTGACAACACCTATCAGCCAGGGCTAAGCACAATCAGCTGGAGCAGGTACTGCGTAGGATCCTAGGATTTTTCTTGGAGTAATCCAGCCTCCTGTCCCAGAAATGTGTCACAGAAAACCGATGAATTATTCAAGAATAACATCACCCTGGGTGATTTGATCAATTGAAGGCCCCTGATGTTTCCCTGGCATTTGTTTTTCTCTAACACCATTCCCAATCTTTGCTGTCTCCCCCAGATCTCTCCATCCTCTTCTGCAGCCTCTGGATTCCTCAGCCTATAATGAGAAGTGGTGGCAGGGATTAATTAAGGAAGTGTTCAATTACATCAGGTATTTTCCATAGAATTTCAAACCTCTTGTACTACAACCCCTGCTAATTACCCATCCTGGTTTGCTCTTTGCAAAGTGTTATTTTACATAACCTTTCCGTGGCACCTCTTACTCCTCCCGGCTCTGCTCTTCTCACATTCCTACAACACAGAGGTTTGCCCAGGTTTTTAATTAACCCTTGGAGCTCCCAAACTACTTCAGAAACCTTCCCCGCTCCTGAACAATAAAAGCTGAAATAATTCAGGAAGAACAAGCTGGAAGCCACAAGAAACACTCCCAAATCCTATCTAGAGTGTGATGGAGAGTGACGTGTGTGAGGGGAGATGAATGGAAAGCCAAAAAGGCTCTCAGGCAGGTCAGAAGTCTCAAATTAAAGAACTCATTTAGTTCATTGAATGCAAGATGGGGGTGAGGAAAAATGTCTCAAGTTATCTGGGGAAGGAAAAGGGGAAAACAGCACAAATGTGTCCTGGAAGGTGGAGATTCAGCCTGGGACAAATTGGCTCGCTGGTATGCCAGGAGCATGGAAGCAGTACCAGGAAAGGTGAATGAGGAAAGTAATGAATTAACATTTAAAAGAGATCACAAATCAGTTCTAGCTTGTTGCCTACAGGAGATCCAATCCCAAGGAAAATTAATATTCCCAATTAAAGAGGGGATCTTAACACAGCCCCGAGTTGGAAGGGAAGGTGTTGATAAATAGACAAGTTGATGTGGGGGACCATTAAAAAGGGAACAGGAAGAACAGCACTAAAAAGGCAACTAAAAAATAGCTCAGAGAGAATCCCCAGCATGGAAACCAGAGTCCTGGAATGCAGGTGGGGCAGGAACTGCGCTCTGGGAAGGCAGGAATTGCTCTGCTACTTGCAGAGAAGGAAAGGCAGGAAGAATTGCAGGGGAGTGGGGGTGAAAGGGCCCTAAAAGCAAGCCCAAATTCCAGGTGGCAGCACCTGTGGGGGCTGAATCTGAGCAGGAACAGTGGCAAGAGCCTCATGGAAGATTCTGGGAAGATGATACAGGTATCTGCAAGTGGTTTGGTTTCTCATGAACCACAGGATCATGAACTGCTTTGGGTTGGAAGGGACCTTAAAGATCATCCAGTCCCACACAAGGACACCTTCCACTATCCCAGGCTGCTCCAACACCCAAAGCCCAACCTGGCCTTAGACACTTCCAGGGATCCAGGGGCAGCCACAGCTGCTCTGGGCACCCTGTGCCAGGGCCTGCCCACCCTCCCAGGGAACAATTCCTTCCCAATATCCCATCCATCCCTGCCCTCTGGCACTGGGAAGCCATTCCCTGTGTCCTGTGCCTCCATCCCTTGTCCCCAGTCCCTCTCCAGCTCTCCTGGAGCCTCTTTAGGCACTGGAAGGGGCTCTGAGCTCTCCCTGGAGCCTTCTGTTCTCCAGGTGAGCACCCCCAGCTCTCCCAGCCTGGCTCCAGAGCAGAGGGGTTCCAGCCCTTGGAGCATCTCCATGGCCTCCTCTGGATTCTCTCCAGCACCACCAGGTCCTTCCTGTTCCGAGGACCCCAGAGCAGAACTGCACAAAGTGAGGAGAACCTTTCCTCTCTCCTTATCCCAGGGTTTCTCACAGAGCTCTGCAACAGATCCCAAAACCAAAACATGGAAAATACGCAATTCATCCTCATCCACTGGTTTTCCCTAAGGGACAACATTACCCAGGTCCAGGAAATCTATTCCCAGCTCTGAGTTATCCAAAAGGGGGTTGGAATGAAAGCTCTCCTTTTAAAGAGCTGCTCACATGCAGCAAAATTAACAATCATTTCTCCACAGTAACAAACCAGTGTTTTAATGCTTTTTTTCCCCTTCATCTCCAGGTGCTCCTGGACTATTTAGCTACAGAAGTGGCTCCAATGGCCAACTTGCCATAAAGCTCAGTGGAGCAGGGAGAGCAGCAGGAAGCCAGGTGGAAATCAATTTTCCCAGCCAGACACTCTCATTTATAATTCTGCACCACAGGATGCTTTAATTCACAAGTAACAACCATGAGAACAAGAAAAGTGCCATAAATACCTGCATTGGGTGCAAATACCTGAGCTGGGACACCTTTCCAGCATGGTGGGGTTTAGTTATTGAAAAGTTTAATTGAAGTGGTGCTTGGAATAGAGGAGAAGAGGAGGAAGGAGAAGGTGAAGGAGAAGAAGGAGCAGAAAGAGCAGAAGTAGGAGAAGCAGAATCGTGATCATCATCAGAATCCGCATCAGAAAAATCAGAACAGAAGACAGAGAAGAAGAAGCAGAAGCAGCAGAAGGAGAAGAGGAAGAAGAAGAAGCAGAAGCAGCAGAAGGAGAAGAGAAAGAAGAAGCAGAGCAGAGAGGAGAAGAGGAAGAAGCAGAAGCAGCAGAAGGAGAAGAGGAAGAAGCAGGTGCAGGAAAAGCTGCTGAAGCAGAACAAGAAGCAAGAGAAGAAGCGGAAAGAGAAGGAGAAGAAGCAGAAGAAGAGGCAAAGGAACAGAAGAAGCGAGCAGAAGGAGGAGAAGGAGCAGCAGAAGAAGCAGAAGAGGCAGAAACAGAAGAAGAACAGGAAAAAAAGCAGAAGTAGGATAAGAATAAGCAGAAGCAGCAGAAAAAGCAACAGTAGGAGCAGAAGAAAAAGAAGAAAAGCAGAAGAAAAAGAGGATGCATGAGAAGAGGAAGAAGCAGCAGCAGGAGAAGAAAAAGCAGAAAAAACAGGACAAGAAGAAGGAGAAGGATGAGGAGGATGAGGAGGATGAGGAGGAGGAGAAGGAGGAGG